AGGGAGGCAGGAGAAATTCCGCCAGGTACCGTGCGCGGTGAGTCCCCAGTGTCACCCGCGATGAGTCCCGTGAAATCCAGTGGCTGCTTACGCGTGGTTGCCTGTACTTACCCTGGGGATTGGTTGGAGTCTCGCTGTCCACCCCATGGCTATATTAAGGATACCATATATGCATTTGGGAACATGGCTTAACGCAGTAACCATAGTAGGAAACCGGTTAAGAGTCCCTGGTTATCAAGCAGGCGGTAATGCATGATGTCACGCAAGTCATGAAGAGATAATAAGGGATGCAGTAACCCACAGCTAACGGCGTGGCGTGCGTTAACAGAGATGTGATGTCATATGCTGAAAGCGTCTGGGACCATCAGAAATAGAAACTGGGATGACCACAGGAGGACAAGTCCAAGGCGTGCTGTCTGAAGAGTTTGTTGGAGGAGCGGCAATCTACTTGCTTACGCGTGACCGCTGAAAACTGAGGACTGATACCAGCAAACCACAGAGCAACGCTCGAGCAGAAGTGCGCGGACAACCAGGAAGCACCTGCTCGAGCAGATGGCACCCGCGGAGCGGGGAGAGGGGCAGCAGAGCCCTCAGCCGCCCCAGGAGCGCCAGGGATGAGGCAGAGGGGCAGGCTGGGCGAGAAACGCTCGGCAGTTGAAGCTGTACGATGTGTAACATCCCTACCCAAGCACCTGATGGTGCCGTGTCGTAAATGCTGTCGAAGACGTGGTTGTGTGCTACGGGAACCAGCCCAGCCACCTGCTTGTTAGGTTTTCCACTAGATGTTCACCTGCGGGTGTTCTCTTAGCTGTTTAGGTAAGTACTGCGGTGTTATCTGCAGTGGTTGGTTACCTATGGCACGTCGCTCCGCCGCTGTTTTCGCGCTATGTAGCAGTTTTTTGGGAGAGGGAGGAAAGATAAGTACAGCTCATGTGGTCTGTCTTGTACTAGTACTTACTTGTATTAGTACTTACTCCAATTAGTGCTTTGATTTGCTTATGCGTTGTGGCGTAGACAGTGATAAGGTTGACCCTATACAACTTCTGCAAGTCGAATTTCCGGTCTTTGGTGCAGCTAAACATGAATTAGCTGAGGACACTTATTCCCTTAGCCTCTCTCTCCAAACGAGTTCAGATTGTCCTCCCTAATTCTGACTGCTCATCTACGTCTCTGTAATATTACAGAGACTGCTGTGGGATACAGCTAAATTGGTTCAGGCTAGCTGAGGCCCACTCATCTCCTTTGGGTATATAACAAGGCTCAGCAAGGGTGCTCGCCCAGGCTACTTACATCGGGCAAAAGTTTATTCTGCGTTCGGGTGACAGAATATGAGGAAAGAAATGTGAAAATTGTAGTCTTGCTGTGCGTTTTCAGGGAAGTTCGGTAGATGTTTGGGGAGTGATTCAGGAGCTAGAATTTTCCTTAAAATTACAAAGGCTTCTGAAAAAGCAAATGAGGAATAGGTTTTCAGTCCTTCTGTCATACTTTTGTGGTCGTGAGCTGGTTTAGATGGAATGTAGCTTCACTAAGGTCACCTTTCTACTTCTCCCTCTCTGCGTGCTGACACAGTTATGTGCTCGCTAGCTGTCAAGGCTGTAGTGTGCCTGGACGAGGCCCAGCGTCCTCACGAGGGGGCTCAGGTTTGAGAGGAGACCTCTGCGCAGCAGCCAGCGCGTTGGAAAAGTGTCCCCTTCGTAACCCGGAGGGGCCTTGGAGAGCAGTACCCTCTCCCCGGAGCGACGGTGCTGCCTCTCCGGTTAACTGCAAAGCGGCGAGTGAGGAGATGGCAAGTCAGAGTGGAAGGAGAAGGAGAGTGGGATGCGCAAGACTGCGGGCTGAAGGGCTACGGGCGAATAGCTGCAGGGTAATTTTAATACTTAGAAAACCTGTGTAAGCTGGTGGTAGTTTTTACTGCTTGTACTGTATGCAGGAGAATTGGGTCTGACGCAGCGGTGAGCGTGCACGTGGCAGTGAAGTTGGGAGAAGCCCCACGAGCCCGGTTCATCCTCCTTTTGCACGTGTGTTTTTTCTACAGGATTCTTAAATCTCTTTGAACATAAAGCTGTCTTAATTTTGACTTGAATTTTATTTTGTGGAGTCATGTTCTCTCAGAAGCGATTCAGTGTGTTAATACACCTCTGACCACGTAAGCACCGAAATTATGTTGCTGCAGTTGCGCTTCTTGAGCGTTAGGAGCCTGTGCTCTGCCATTTACTAAACAAGGTCTTCAATTCCACCAAGCATTCTACCCCTTGCAAACCTGGCTGGTTGTATTCCATGATAGCGTACCTGTGGAGTTGTTTTGGCTGTACCTTTGCCCAGTATCTTGGTACTGGGCGCAGCAAAGAAGAGAGCATTGCAGTTCTGCATCAAAGTTTTCTGAAGGGTAAAGAGGAAACTGCAGTCTTGCGCTGAAAAGAGCAAACTAAAAGTAGAAGCTGGTTGGCTCTCCTGCCACCATGGCAAAGGGTTTTTCTTCTGCACCCATGGCTATTTCCAGCTCCCCCTGAAATCTCTACCCCTGAGGAAGCTTTGTCCAATTCCCTGTTTGCCTCTTCTCCATCCTGCCCTTGGGGAGGAGGAAGGGCTGTCCCACCTCCTGGGGTGAGGACAGATGCCGGTTCTTTCTCAGTGTGAGGTTTAGGTGCTGCTTCACTCTGTGCCGTTGCCCTGCTGCGTAGCTCAAAGCCAGAGCTGACCCTAAGCTGTGCTGGCTGCTGCAGCTGCGAGCATTTTCCCTCCCTGAACTCCCTCTCGCCTTGCTTCATCTTGCAAACTTCCTTTGCAAAGAGGATAAGGCAAAAAAAGACCTCCGGGCTCTCCAGCCATACACCGCCGCGGCGCGGTCGGCACCGTGGCACTCTCCTTTGCCCTCCGTGCTCCGAAATGTGTCCGTAGGTGGGTGCTGCCTGGGGTGAGCCACCTCGCTGGCCCAGGGAGATAATGGGGCAGGCAGGGGCCTCGTGTGCTGCAGAGCAAGGACGCAGATAGGGGGAAATGTAGCTGCTGTACAGCCTGGGTTTGGGGTGGAGCTGCTTTTATTTTACTTTTTTTTTTACTTTTTTTTTTTTTTTTGGCGGGAGCTCTGTGTGTGTGTGAAGCAGATGACTGAGAAAACTCAGTGTTTGTCCCCAAATTGATCTCGCTGGAGGATCCTGGTACTTAACTACTGTTACAGGAAGAAGCTAACGCATGTTTGCCTTTCAAATGGCTTTCCTGCTGTCCAAATTTCAAAGCAAAGAGGGTTTTTTGTAGTTTCTTTTTGGGGTTTTGTTTCCCCCCACCCCCCCAGTGGAATAGATGTACGTAGGATCAGGAGCGTTTGACTTGATCTTTGGTTTCTTCTAACCAGCCTGAAATTCTTCTGGAAGACTTTCTTGTAGTCATTCCCTATCATAATTCTTCTAGGAAAATTGTAGAGTCTTGGAAAATGTATTTCCTGTCTAACGCCGATCCTCCTACTCTCAATGAATCACTTGTACTCTCGTGTTGCTTTGGGCTGACTTCCCTATTGACTTCAGTGCCTGGGATTTAATTAGAAATCTAGGGATGTTATTTGGAGCTATAAAACTACATAGGATTCCTCTCTATGCAGCGGGATTACAGTAAGAAAAAAATTAAGAAAATTAAACATTTGCATATTAACTGTCCTTGGTGTGAACTGAAGGCTTGCTTCACGTTTCTGCATACACCGCTCTTGCAGGCTTGTCTTATCCCATCCTCAGCGTAAAGCAGCACCCCTCCCTTTCCAAACCTGTAAAGAAACCTCTGGCACGGGACGGGGTCTGCAGCGCACGCAGAAGGATGGGTTTTCCTGGGTGTTTTATAGGGGAGAAGTAACCCCCGGAAATCCTCTGTCGGTGTGAAAATGTCTGGATGTTCCCCAAAGGGGTGAGCCCTCCTTGCGGAGTCACAGTCCTTGCTGGCAGAGCTTCCCCAGAGCCCAGGAAAACGCACGTTGGCTACTGAGGGACTTGAATCCCGTAAGGCTGACCTGGCTCTGGGGTGAAAAGGAGCAGTTTTATTCAGGGTGGGGCGTATTTAGGGGCTCTTTTGCATGATGCTGTTGTTTTGTGTCCGTTGAAGATAGCACCTGCAAAAAGAGCGGTGCTCTATTTAAAAAAACCAAACAAACAAAAAAACCCTGCAGCCTGTAACTTGCCGTACACGCTTGTGGGGCTGCCCAGCTTTGGCTGGCAGCTCCTGTGCTGCTCAGACCCGTGGGGACATTATCTTCACCTCTCCCTCCGAGCCTCCCTGCTGCAACAGGGCAGGGGAGATAAGGGGTACGCTGCTGCGGCAGCAGCTATGCTCACTGCACCTCCCCTGCTGGCATCATCTGATGCATCCCTTGTAATTCCCCAAGAAGGGAATTGCCTCCGCAGAGATCTTCCCCTAAAGTACCATCAAGCTGCTGTAATGGGGAGGGGTGAGGGTAGACTCCAGCAAGACCTGGTTCAGGATCGCCAGCACCTGCCCTTGGGTTTCAGGAGTGTCTGAGCAGAGAGTGATCTCTCCACGCTTGAAAAGCTTGAATAATTTTTGCGTGCAGAGGGAAGCTATTTTAACAACTGATGATGTGTTGCAATAGCACACGAGTTGCATGGAGTGTCACAGTTGTAGGTTAGTTTAAAAATAAATAGATTGGTTTTATATTTTTTTAGAATGCTTGTTGCTTGCATATACCAAAGATGATGTTACTTCTAACAACCGAACCGGTTAGGCCAGGATTCATGTTTTTGACCTGTTTACACCATTTATAGAGCAATGGAAAGGTGGGCCGATGACGCAAAGCCAAATATCTGCGTTTTTGAAATGCTGGTAACCTGGCATGCCAGCAACAGTAGGGATCAGACACTGAAAATAACCTTTGGCATACCTGCCAGTTTACTGGAATACCTTTCATTTTTGCCTGATCCGTGTTATCCTTTGCTTGTGAGTGAAATCTTTATCCTCAACGCGGAACGTCTTATGCATATTTTGCACTGTTCTTTTTCCAGGTTAAAGAACTCGTTCTTGACAACTGTAGGTCATACGAAGGCAAAATCGAAGGCCTTACAGATGAGTTTGAAGAGCTGGAATTCTTAAGTACAATCAACGTAGGCTTAACCTCAGTTGCAAACTTACCAAAGTTAAACAAACTTAAGAAGGTAAATAAAATGTCCTGTGCTATATCCCTCCCTCTTTGCACTGTACCAAATGTAAATTAGTTGTTTGTATAAAAACGTAATTTAGCTGACCAAACGTGTTTGCACTAAAAACTCAAGATGTTTATGTGCCTTTTAGCTCGAGCTAAGCGACAACAGAATCTCAGGAGGACTGGAAGTGTTGGCAGAAAAGTGTCCAAACCTCACGCATCTAAATCTAAGTGGCAACAAAATAAGAGATCTCGGTACAATAGAACCGCTGGTAAGTTGATGTGGTACAGGGGGAAATCGAACCGTGTTCTGTGATGAGTAGAAGCATTTCGGGCTTGGAAAGTCCCAAGCAACTTGCAGCGGAGTGTCTTTGGTGCTTATCTCTCCGGCCAGGTTGCTGTGGGGCTCGGTGTGGCCCCGGGCTGTCTCGCAGCCGTGCCCCGGGGCTGCGCCGGCAGCGTGAGCGGCTGCTTCCCTCTAGTGGCTGCTGCCGCCGGGCTCTCCCCGCGGG